CGGAGATGCCGGAGAGATTAATCGATGGAAGGGGAGCCTGACCTTCCAGCCCCGTCAGCCACAGCAAAATTTACCAGTTTGAATCTGAGCCATCCGATCAACATCAACCCGGATTCCATCAATCTCAGCCGCACGTTCAACACCACCTCCACCTGCACCTCAACGAAGTCGTCTTCGTATTCCTCTCCTCCGGACTTGGTCCGGAATGTTCAAGCCGCCTTCAAACGCCACCGCCCCCTCGGTATATCAATTACTAAATTGTTGTTCATTTCAAATTTCAAATAGGTTGGACCTTGTGCATTTGGTTCATCTCAAATTTCTAATAGGTTGGACCTTGTGCATTTGGTCTAGTACCCTGCTTTGGGATCTGTAGTTTGAATTAAAACTTCGATTCGCTGTGCACTGTAAGTTTTGGTTAATTATAAATTTCTAGTTAGGGATTTTAGATTAGCTGTCCGTTTGTGGCTTTAAGTGAAGTTGTAATTGAAAAAATGAAGGTCTTTGCTTTGGGAACTAAAATTTTTATTTTTGTTCGAATGGTACTATCTTGTGGTTCAGTGCTGAAAACATTGCATAATTGTTAAGAATTTACTAGTATCTAATAAATTCGAGGGATTTACTTTAGTTTATCAGTGCTTGGTCTATGATCTTGGTGAAGTTTGTGGTTGGGAAGTCTACTCTGATTTGCTTAAATGTTTGTGGTTGGGTTTATGTTTATATCTTCTGTATGACATAAAGTTCTAGCATACTAGTTAACCGAAGCTTCATAAATATCAATTTGATTTCTTAAAGTTGTATGGCTTAACCCTTTTTGCTCTTTATTTCTGACGGACATTTAGGTATGTTGCAGTCAAACAGTATTAGGCCAAGGAGATTAGCGGTTGCTCAACGAGGTACTTCAAAGGAATCAGATTTAAACCCTCATCCAACATTTGATGCCAAGAAAAGCAACGAAGAGATATTACTAAGTCACAAATTGATGGGCAGCACGTCGCAGTCCAAGAAATTGGTCTCTGTTGCTGTAGATGCTCAAGAGGACGCAGCAATTTCCCCACCTTCTGAATGGGGATCCACCATAAATACGCTCGAAGGGAACTTTAAGCCATACAACGTTCATGAAGATCAACCCCAACCCTTTACTGGATTAAGAAGCAACAATACAGTTGCTTCATTGGTTATCAAATCTGAGCATGTTCCGTTGTCTGACGTACAAAAGAAGGTCCATTTTGCCTCAGAAAGCTATGCTGTTGCTCAAGGTAATCTATCAATCTAATATTTATTATAAATGGGATCCATCAACGAGCAGTTGCTTGTTTAAGGTTCGGGAAGAAAGGCCGCTATACACTTAGATGCACATTGCTACACGTGATTCAAACTAGGGTTAGTAATAGTTGCAATTTATGGCACATATTGCAAAATGTTTATGCAGGGGCCAATGAACGAAAGGCCACTGGAATGGACGATTTATTATCTCATATGGATTCGCTTGCATTGACAGAAACGAACTGGGATGTGAGCAACCAAGAAGATCCTTTGGCTGCTGTCAATCAGGATTTGCAGCATCATAATTTTCAGAGTACGGAAATGGAAAATAGTTTGAGGTCTGAGGGTGTGATTTCTTTAATGAGTAGTGGAACTATGACTAGTCAGGATCAGTTAAACCACCAATTCACAAACTTTTTGCAAAATGACTTGGGTCATGCTATGACTCAGTCCTCAGTTGTTGGGTCGACTTGCCTTATGTCAACATTAATAAACTCAACTTCGGCTCCTATGATGAGTTCAACAACCTATTGTTCTCGACCTCATCAAATGATCACTTCTAGTTTGCACATGGATCCTTCAGGAGAAACTGAAGTTAAACGAGCTATGGTGCAGCCATCATATCCTTCATCCAACTATGCAAGTGGACTGCCAACTCATCCATCATCCAGCACTGTACCAGCCATCAGCTCCATTGCTGAAGTGTCAATGGAAATCGGTAAATCTTTCGCCCTGTCTAAGGGGCAGCCGAGCAACTTTCCCAAGGAATGTAATAATTCTAAAGGTTCTTCCCCACATGAACATAACAACTCAGCCAAAGAGAATGATACTGATATAAAATCTCAGCCACCATCATCAAAAGTACAGCCTATGGATTCGAAATTGGAAAAATCTAAGTCAGATAAACAAGAAAGAGGTGTAAGTGGCAAATCAACATCAACATCTCGTAAAAAAGGTTATGATCCTGACTTGTTCTTCAAAGTCAATGGAAAGCTCTATCAAAGGCTTGGAAAGATAGGTAGTGGAGGAAGTAGTGAAGTTCACAAAGTAATTTCCTCAGATTGTACAATTTATGCCTTGAAGAAGATCAAACTTAAAGGCCGTGATTATGCCACAGCACATGGCTTTTGTCAAGAAATAGAATATCTAAACCGGCTGAAGGGGACGAACAACATTATTCAGCTCATTGATTATGAGGTATATGCTTTTATAAGTGCTTAAATTGCTATCATGCGTAAGCTTAATAAGAGTAGTGGTTACCTATATTATATATTAATCTTTCTTGTTATCTATGAGATTTGCATCAATTCAAAGGAGTGCATGAAAACCTCCCAATTGTTGAAAATTTTATTGGAATCATTTCAATAACAAGAATTGAAAGTGACGATTGTGAGGATGAAGTGAGAGTCAAGATGATTGTTGTGGAACATGAAAAAGATTATCAAGCTGGATTCTGCTAATGTGAGTAAGAAGCATTTTCTGAGAGGAATGTTTGTCAAAATGAGCACAATAGCATAAGATCTTCCACCTGTGACTTTACAGTTTGCACCACAAAAGATTTTTTTTTGTGAGATATTTAACATATCAGTCTAATCAAACATATATTTAGATGCTAATAGAACATATTCTTCTTAGGTGACAGATAAGACTTTGCTTCAGGGAGTCATGAATGGTTCCATGAGTAATAAGGATGGCAGGGTCAAGGATGATGAATATATATACATGGTCCTTGAATATGGTGAAATTGATTTGGCTCACATGCTATCCCAAAAATGGAAGGAACTGGATAGCTGTAATTCAATGATAGATGAGAATTGGCTCCGATTTTACTGGCAGGTTCTTCACTACTCATTTTAGCAAGTACATTTTTACTACTATAGCTTTATAAAATTACTGTCGATCATTGCCAAAATCAGGTTTTTGTTCTTTACTTGAAGAGAGTCCCCAAACTCTTTATATGTAGAATGCCTCCCCATCTTTTTCTTGGTGGCTAATGCCTTCTTTTTCCTAGTTTGTTAAACGGAAGCATTTGATATTTGTTTGCAAAGTTATTCAAAGACAACTGTTAAGAAGCAAAACTATTCAGCCTTCATATGTCATCTAATCTCTGAACTTCTAAAATGTGGAGAAATAAATCTAATTTTGTGTTTATTTAGCTTATCTGATATCTACCTCTTTAAAAATATTGCAGCAAATACTTCTAGCTGTAAACACCATACACGAGGAACGTATCGTGCATTCAGACTTAAAGCCAGCCAATTTTCTTTTAGTGAGAGGTTCACTCAAGCTAATTGATTTTGGTATTGCCAAGGCCATAATGAGTGACACAACCAACATTCAACGGGATTCACAGGTTGTTCTATATCTACACTTGTCTGGAATATTATATATATATATATATATAGGCTGTATTTTTCTCGTGCTAAGAATATCATGCTGCTGCAGGTTGGCACACTAAGTTACATGTCTCCTGAAGCATTTATGTGTAACGAGACAGATGCAAATGGAAATACGATAAAATGCGGTCGTTCATCTGATATCTGGTCACTTGGTTGCATCCTTTACCAAATGGTTTATGGAAGAACACCTTTCTCGGAATACAAGACGTTTTGGGCAAAATTCAAAGTAATAACTGATCCAAATCATGAAATTACCTATGAACCAATGTCCAATCCATGGCTTCTGGATCTTATGAAGAAATGTCTAGCTTGGGACCGGAATGAAAGATGGAGAATCCCTCAACTGCTTCAGCATCCATTTCTAGTTCCTCCAGTTCCACCTCAATTACCTGCCCCTCCCAATGAAAGCTGTAAATTGCTTCGACTAGTTGCTGAATCAAATGTAGGTGATCAGAAGGTTTTGATGCTATGCACTCAGCTTGAGAATATGTTAGCAAACCCGAGATCGTTAGTTTCATCACAGGAAACGATATCCCGAGACTTGCAACACAAGTTACTTCATAAAATGTCAACCCTTTGCTTCCAGCTCCAAGAACAATTAGCAAGTGTGGAAAGAGATGCAAATATCTGATCTTGCAAGTGAATTTACATTTTAAGTGGTCAATTTGCGACCTTTTTTTTATTTATATAGTTGCTTAAGGGAAGACCTAGGCATTAATGCCATGTCTACTAAGAAAGAATTGAGAAGTACTAGACATTACTAAAGAAAGTCCAGTCTAATCGTATTCAATACTGATTACAAAAGGAGCCCGAAATGACCGCATCATTCTACTCCCACTTCTTGTGCAAGTGTTTCTATGTTTGGCTGAACTTGAATTGATGATAGTATTTGGCAGTTATGTAATGGTTACCATGTATAGCATGCATATGAAAAAGTTCTTTTGCCGCGAACTTTAAAATATTTTTAGTTTTTCTTTCGTTTCCATTGTTTTTAGTTTACAACCATTTTGCTCGTGCTAAATTTGTCATTTTATTTGATGCAACGGCGAGAACTCAATTTGTCTCACACTACTCGATACGGTAGAGTTGAGGCGGCTTGATACTCCGAAAAACATTTAAAAGATCAGGATACGTTTTGATTAATTCTGTAAAGAAAATGAGTTTTGTATAACAAAGTTTAAACAAAAAATTTGAAGTACATTGAAATCAATTATGAGTTAAAAATTGTCCAATGTGAACATTTTCGCGATAAGATTAGCTCTCCAAAAAGTCGTCTATCGACCACCATATATAAGGATAAAACTAGTAAATTGCAGTGCATATTTGACAACAAAAAGTTCAGTCTTCGTTCTGGGACGAACGCTTGTAAGAAGCTTCAGCATGAGCTTCGTCCAACTTGCTCAACAGTTCCATCATGAAAGGATTCTTTGTTCCATGAGTGATTCTCAGTACATTCAAAGCCTTGGTAAGTGACTTGACGGCTTCTTCAGTCTCTCCTAGCAACCTATAAAGTTCGAAAACATTAGCTCTGCCATTAGGTCCCAATTATAGATTCATTGGATCGGGATTTAAATTGATATTATAAATCTTGTTTATTGTATTGTCCAATCGTGTTTAGCAATTAATCCTTGTTTAGAAAGATAGATACAACTATAAAAATCCTGCAGTGTTCATGTTTCAGAAAAGAGTACATAAATGATGAATGATGTAGAGCGCTAATAATTGAAATGTGTCTGTAAGAAAGAGGGAGCAACGCTGTAAAATCTAACCATTCAAGTTTTCCGCAAGTATAATATTGCAGTCCGACCAAAGGATGAAATGGTGGATATGCTCCTGAAGGAATGAGAATATGTTAGATATCAAAACGGAAACAAGTTGGCAGTACGATAAACGATATTTCTTGAGGTTGATATTTTTTTATAAACAATTAACACGCACCCGCACAATATGTATTAGACCTAGACACATGGTCCTAAAATTCTTTAAGCCACATTACAAGAAGTAGCACCTGAGTCCTTGTCCATTTTCCAACTAATATCCATATGTAGTAACAAACAATGGGAGCATGTTAGTGCATAACACTATTTTTTCTGGAATAATCTGTTCCAAGTGTGAGAAAATGCTCAGGTATTAAGTAGGAAGGGCAAACAGACCGTACACCAGACACAAACCGAGAATAATTACGGATAAAAAAGGAATAGAAAAACACAACAAGGTCACTGCTAGTTCCTTGGAAGTTCTAGGATAGTTTAGACATGTATGAAAAGTTTATCAAGGTTCTCTAAAAAAGAGCCATTAAAAAAAAATTGTAACCTTTTAAAATTTAAAAAGAATAGTCTCAACAAAATTTGAAGCACTCTTGATAATTCACAACAGGAAGCTTATCTTGTGTGTTCTCAGGATAGTGTTACTTTCTACAACCATATGCAACCCAAATGCCCCTAATAAACAATAGCATAAGATAGTAATAGATATCAATATATTTCTTCCAAGTCTAAGCTTAAGAACGTACTTATATAAATTGGAATGGTCAATCTGCAATACACAAGTGCTTGCTTCCAATCCTGCAGCTCCATCAATATCTAAAGTGATAAGAGTTTCAAAAAGAAGTTAATTCAATAATATGAGTATGCAAAGCTAGGGAAAATTGAACCGATACTCGTGCATTGTGGGAAACATTATTATTTTCCAAGATACATGTATAGAATACAGGATCATCTCATAGTGATTAAGAAACATTATTATTTTCCAAGATACATATATAGAATACAGGATCATCTCATAGCGATTAAGCCAGAACAAGATACAGATGCTTTCAGCTTAATATGAATGGCACAATGCAATGTAATTATGCCCTACTAAGAAAGTAACCAAGTGTGTTAATCATTTGTCTAGTTTCCAAGCCCGAAAAAGGAAAAGGTTGAAAATGCTGATGAGCCAAAATAGACAAAAGAAGTCAAATAACAAGCCATCTTGCACCACAAAACTCTAAATCAAATTATCTTCAAAAATATTTAGTATTTGGAGAGAAAAGCATGCAGCACATTACAACATTATTCGGAAGACTCAACAGCTATGTACAGATAAATAATTCTCAGGAGCAAATGCAGGAGGAGAAAAAGAGGCAGATCAGAGATTCACCATCTACCTTCAGAAGAGTCTCTCTAGTCCGCATCAAATTGATTGAATATGGATGGCACAGCTCCAATTGAAGCTTCTCGACCATCTTATAAGCAGAACTTGCCTGTGTGTTATCTGAATTTTGTCAAGGTCATCATGTCTTTTCACAGAGGGCCATTCAGCCATTCATTTGATCACACCCATCGTCTTGACCAAACCTCCTGCCCCCACCCCCCAGAAAAACACATTTGACCTTTTCCATGAACAGAAAGTAATGTTTTTAAAGAAGCCTACAACATAATACTGTTTCGTTTCACATAGTCATCATATTCCAGTTTAAAACTTAATGTAAATCCAAAAGTTTATAGGATGCTCCCAGATGAGAGTGCCATTGAAGCTTTCTCAGACATTGGTCTGACTTCACTAGCAATATTTTCTATTTCTTCCTTGTTCCTAAGAAGCCCACAGTGTTTGCATATGAATCCTTTATTATCTGCATTCAAGAGCAAAAAATATGAAATGACTTTGGTGTTATAACAATCCCAAAGACATGAGAAAGATAGACACTTTCTCAGTTATGGAAGATGTACCTAGGTCACGAAGAAGAAAACCATTACATTTTCTATCCTTGCATCTATAACCTTCTAGAACTGCGCTTTCTTCAATATCATCAAATTGACCCTTAACCATGCAACTCGCTATGTTCAGGGACCAGAAAAACCAAGGGAGCACTCTCCAATTATAAAAGCTAACATGGCTTAGAACAGGAGAAAACACCAAATTACCATTTTTATGCAGCGGGAACAGGTGCAAGAGAAAAAATACTGTTCCTTAAGAGCCTTTTGCCGAGTTATAGTGCTTCCAGCCGTTTCTACATAACTGATTGACACCTTTGGAAGCCAATGACAAGACAAAATAAGACTTTTCCTCAGAGTGCAAGGTGTTGATGGAAACAAACTATCAATATGGTAAACTACATTTCAATTTCACAGTCCTTTTAACCAAACTGAATCGCCAGGATTTTCAAAGGCCGTTACCTCAGTGCCTTTTGGTATATGCTGCACAGCTCGGACCACAGCCAATCTTCCCTCAAATACTAGAACAGAATTGGGTAAACAGCTAAAACACCAAGATAGATTAGGAGAGACAATGTGGAAAGGTAGAATAATGAATATTTACAATTGTTACCTGTGATTTATAATAGAAATGACTGGATACAGTCCTGTTCCAAGGGGTCTCAGTTCACTGTCACAAATGGAATGTGCATTGCATGAAAGCTGCAGGATATGAAGATAATGACGAGTCAGCAAGAATCTTCTGGTAGATACCACACGAGAGAAACAGCACCAAAGCATGCCAAGTAGATTCAATTAAAAAAATTTAAAATTTATTTTATTTTATTCTTTTTTGTGAGAACAACAGTAAAATATTTACAATTCCTGCAATGAAGATATACAACAGAGATACATATATGTGCGTAAGCATCTATTTCTTTATGCATATACTTCGCACTTGCAACCCCCTCCACCATTTCAAAGGTAAAACAAGCAGGACCTGAAATCATGTGCTCTAGTAACTTCCAATTCAAGCACAAGCATAACCCAATAGGGGGAAATTTCCATTCTTATTGTAGCATCTCGTGGACAAATAATTTTTTTCTGCTCACAACACCATATGCCTATGTAATTGAGCATGAAAGCAGAATTAGATTAATTGATCTCTAAGGAGAACTTTTATTATGCACATACTGCAGTATATTTGGCCTTTCCCTTGTGGAATACCTTAGAAAAGTTCTCTGCAATCTCTTTAATATTGATCTCCTGCTCAGGCCACTGAAGAATTAAAGCTACCAGGTTAGCCATCTGGGCATACAATACCAGTTGCTTCTCCTCGAGATCAGGCATATCTTCGTGAGTATATTGGTTAAGGACAAAACGTTAATTTCCAATATAAAAATCAAAGGAGGAAAAAACAGTAAATGTATATTAGGATACGAGACACCAAGGCTTCTACCAAATTGTAGTTGTCAGTGGCAGTAGTTGGGACGATCTAGCAGCGAAAGAACGTCTATTAAGAAAATATAGAGAGATAATGAAATATCACTAACACAAAAAACCGAAAATATAATTCTAAATAGGAATCAATTCCTGAGCTCCATACACTTTCATACAGAGAGCTCAGCAGCCAATTTTTATAGTGCATTTATCAATTTCTTCTATAGCTTAGGAAGGAACTCAATCACCATGGTACATTCTAATCCTCTCTTAAAACTATTAATCCTAGAACTTCTTTATTTATATGCGCCTTTTAGATTAGGGGACATGTCAATTCTTGGATATATTAAGCCTAAGTTTAGTACATATTCTTTAAAACTCATTTTCAATCATAAATTCTTCCAAAAATGATTTTGCACGAGCACCCATAACTTTTCCCTATTTTTTTAATCATACATTCTCAAAAAATCATTTTTCACAAAATCTATTCTCAACAAATCTACACAAACAAGCCCTAAGGCTTAAGTCAACTGTTCTTTTATGTTCATTATACAATATTATGCATATAATATATATGCTTCGTTAAATGGATGCCTATTCCAAGGCAGTTGAGCACTCCCCTATAAAGGAGGAAAAATCACCCAGGTGCACAAAAATTTACTGTCATCTTGGTATGCTAGAAATAATCATTTTAGAAAACAGTATCAGAAAAAATCTAATAAAGTGCTTATACGAAATATGAAGGGTAGAAGTAGCAGTTCAAGCTTCACAGCAAAAAATCGGGCAATAGCTTTGTTATCTTAAAAGATAAAGGCTTTATTCAGAGGTGGAGTCCAACTATTTTTTCTTTTCCGGATGTTTGTTTGTTTCAACATATTTATACATTAACTTGTCCATTATTCTAGTAAAGGGCAATGGGAGAGAATAAGATGTCTGAACTAAAGTCAGAAGCTTGAAACTAGAGCAACAATAGAAATAAACTATCACCTTCTGATGTTGTAACTTTCTTCGTAAATAAAGCTTCACCATCAAACGTATAGATGGAGTGATAGACTTCACCCTGTTCTTGTCTACTTTTGCCAAGGCTTTACATTCTACACTATGCAATTTCCAATCCAATTTCTGAACCGAACAAAAGTAATGCGGCTTATGAGAAAGAATCACAATAATGGATTGAAACAATAGAGAAACGCCATTCAAATAGAGTGATAACTAGCTCATGAAGACTCCTTCAATGTTCAGAAAATTCCGTGAGGATTTATCTCCCCATTTTTTTCTTTAGGTTGCTTTTGAGGTTTGAATAAACAATGCCGAAAATATAAGGGTATTCAATCAGTGCATTTATACTAGAGTTTGATCGTGAATTTGTTGTTAAAAAAATGAGGCAAGGTATCATTTTTTGGTTTGTTTGAGGTTATTTTTGTAGAATTTGCTTATTCGGTGCTCAACCACTGTAGATTCACTTCGAAGACACAACCAAATAGCCAAAAGAACTTCAAAAAAAATGCAGTTAAAGTACTGTAACCATCGCGCACTCGTCGTTCGACAAAATGCATCAATAAATTATCTATCTTAAATTCACCTAATCGAGTATACGTCGACGAGGGCATTGCTTGTTTTACTGATTCATCGTAATTTTTTACCTGGCAAGTGCTTCCACAGTACCAAACAACATGGCAACCAGAGCATTTCTTGACGTTGCTTGATGAAAAACACCATTCGCATTTTGAGTTGGGCGATTCTTTATTCTTGTTTGGAACAGAAACATATGGATCTTCACTTAAAATCACCTCCCCTGTAAGATCAAAAGGAAATCAAATTGTATAAACTTCTCAAAAAACTTAACGAAGTATCAAGAATTCGCTGAAAATTATAGAATTAACTCGAAGAACCTGGAGATAAGTCGCGAGTGGTAAAAAGGCAACGACCCTTCTCTGGGAGAGTTGAAACTGCTAGATTTTTATCATTTAATGCCTTCTGCAGCTCCTCCATAGCTACTTACTGTGATTGTCACTTCTGGAATTCACCTGTGAAGAATTTTCGAGTTTCGCGCTTATGTATATATATATACACCAGTTTAATTATGAAAATGACGTATTAAATTCTCAAAATAGCCCTTTTGGGTGCCACTTTTTATGGAAATTGCCTGAATGCGAGTTCGTGGAGTGAAATGGGCCGGACTTCCTGGGGACGACCCAGATCTTTAAAAATCCAGATCATAATTAGCCCAGCCCGATTCGGTTTGGCTCAAGAGTTGGGGCACCAATCATGACAGGTTGGGACGGATTGATTTTTTCAGCCTAGCAATCCTCGAGGACCAACTTAGTCGACTCGATTTATTAAAAAAATTGTAAAATTACTGATAAGTATTACTTGTAAAGTGTGTGTATATTTTATGAGCATTTTAACGATATAATTTGTGAATTACCAATAGGTATATTTAATTTCAATTAAAAATGAAAGATTGGACCAAACAGTTTGACTATTGGCAGGATTGTGGGCTAGTTAGATCCACAGATTTTGAAGACAATTTAGGTTAGTCCGAAACTAGAGTGGCAATTTTCTCCGCCCTGCCCTATCCTCGCGGGGCCCCGGGTTCGAGGGGTGGGGTTCGTCACTCTTGTCTCGGGTAGAATTTTTAAAAAAAAATTTGGACATTGGTTTTTGTGGACTTTTTTGTTTCGAGTGCTTGCTTTTGATATTGATGTAGTTAGTTTGAACATTATCTGATTTGAATTTTAAAATTTTGAATTTGTATTTTAACTGGAAAAAAAAAACTAACAAACGGAGCAAGCCCGCGCCCTGCACCCCCCTAAAAAAAACTAACAAACGGGGCAAGCCCGCGCCCTGCACCCACCCCATCTAGGGCGGGGCGGGGCGTTCAAACCCCTCTCGTTGCCATCACTATCCGAAACATATTATTCGATGAGCTGGTTCTATCACTATCAGCTTGTAACATGTTTCAATATCAAATATATTCATTTTAATCACAAGTAAACTTCGATGTGTTTCTACAAATAAGATCCCATGATATGTAACTTACGATTTTCCATTAACTAAATCATTGTTATGCAAGAAAGGCATGTATCATATAGCGGTGTGCATGCAAGCGTCCACCATTGCTAAGTTTAAGGTATCTTGCAAATCAGTAACATGGTCTTCAAGCCATTCCAAACCAACCCACAAATGGGGGAAACAAAGAGTTCATTTTCGAGGTACTTATTCAAAAAACTGAGGCAAGACACGATGGACATTAGGCTAGGTCAGCCACTGAACCCAAAAAAACTGGGTATCTTCAATCTTAAATTATCCGATCCAATGCATATTACACCCGGTCAAGAAACACATCATACTGGCACAAAAATACATGGTATTAATGTTCCATGTGAATTTTCTTTTAATGTTGCACTCATCTGGAAGCGTTGTGTAGATTGATGTGAATGTGTGTACAATTTTAAAGAACTTGACATAATGAAATTGGGCGGGATAAAGTTTAGAGAAATACTACATTTACACACTTGGTACACAATCTTTGCGGGCCACACACACATGTGAGAGGGTTGTGTACCAAGTGTGTACAAGTAGCAAATTTGCAAAGTTTAATGACGGCTTCTACTCAAAAAGAAAAACCCGGGTGAATTTTTTAAGATGTTCCGTCTTCCTTTTGCTTTTTTCTTCTTCTATGATTAGTCAACTAATGTCGTCATTTTATTAAGATTCTTTGTTGACCGTTCATTAATTTAGTGAAACAATATTATCATTGTTCTCATTTTGTAACTTTGTACCAACGAAATTTATTCGATAACTGATTTATCTCGTTTCACACTAAAGTCATCCCTAAATAACATGACCGTCCCCATATTGTCTCTCATCTCGTCACCACACATAGTCGTGTTTTCATGACATGTAAAATGAATTGTATCAAAATTCGGTTGATATAACCTCTAAATGCACGCGTCGTGAATCTTTAAGCCAAACTAGGACTTTAATGAAGTCCCCACGAATCTAGTACAAATCGCATGTTGCGTGGACAAAGTAGTTATGTGGGTCTAAATTCATGGACTTTTAGTCTATATATTCTTGATTCCAGTTTGCTGTGAAGCAAATCGTAACTCGTATTGGCCAGCACAATAGACTTTTTCTTCCTTTTTTGGTTGTCACAATTCTCTGTCTTGGACTAATTTGTTATATTGGGGTCTTTTCGTGCTGTACTGTAATTTGTTCAAATTATAAGAAAGATTCGTGCGAAAGCATCTTAAAACAATTTAAAATTTAGTATGAACAAGCTTCTCGAGGGAAAATGCAAGCAAGGCAAAAGTCGTGCTTGTGGGCAAGTTTCGCTCGAGAGAATCAAGTGGCACCGAATTTTGGTCATGGAAAACTGCTTATTTCCTAAAGGATCAAGCAATTTCGTACATGGATTGCAACATATTTATTTATAAGTGATGCAATTAGATACTTTAACTCAATCAGTCGTGTTGAAATTACAAGAATAGTACACACTTTTCCATGTTTTTGAGCCAAATTCTAGTAGGCAATTTCCTATTCTTGCATAAATTAATTTCATATTTTCAAAATAATTTGTTTCCCGTGTTTAGATTTGTTTTATAAGGATTTTTAGCTATTTATTTAGATTAGCTTTTTAAAGTTTGTGTCTATCTCGAATCTTAGGTTTGGCTAGGGTAAGTTAAATTTTGTTGTTCTTCTTTAAAAGTTAGAATTAGGGTTTGTTGATCTCGAAACATGGTTCCGACACGTGGCCAATAGAACGAAACTCCACGTAAGCTCCTCCCTACATATGGTGGCACACCATTAGTCACTCATGGCTTTTTCTGATGGGGGTGGAAACGGCCGCGAGCACTCGATAGTCAAGTCAGTGTTTCGATTTGCCGGAAGGTGGTGCTTAGCGATGAAGTAGTCACCGGAACGTGGCTGAGAATGTGTAAATATATCTCAAAAAGCTCTGAGTTAAGAATAAAATATAAGGATTAGAGTTCGGACCCCCGCCTTACCATTGTGTGGGGGTATTTATACTAAAGAAGGGAAGAGAAAAACTGTTGGATGGGGGGACACGTAACTTCAGATCCCGAGTGAGTTATCTTTTCATAGGCGTCAATCTGTTAATCCATAGGTTGGCGAACATTAAATGGTTTCTGACATAGCAACTGAGTTGACCGTTTGTAGCATGCCACGAATCCTATAAATCAGTCAGGGACTTGACTTTGGGGAGATCTTCTAAAAGATCTTGGTACAGATATGACGAGGCAGATTGTGAGACATAACGAGTGCGGAGTATAGGCCTTTGCATCCGCCGTGAGTGGCGGATGAAGTGGATGGTCGAGGTGGAGAGCCTCAGAAGGCCCGTAACAGGGTTCATTATTATTTAGTCATTTTTAATAGTTAAATAAAGTGGGTAAAACTCTACGAACAATCAATCTATCTCGATACCATGTGTGAATCAACATAATTGTTTTTTGTTTCTTATTTCTCACTCTATCCAACTGCATCATTAAGTGATTTTTGAAGAATATATAAAATAGAGAATACATAAAAGTAATATACGAGATACATAAATTTCAAAGTGTTCTTGTTATTTCAAAACTTGTCATATTATAGAAACTATTTATCGGAGAAATTCGTCACTAATTTCTTCAAGATAGTAACGTGCGGTATTCAAATGACATCTATCTATATTGTTGTTGAAAAGTCACATAACCCGTGACTCTCATTTGATTTTCTCTTGTAAAAGATATACAAAATGAAAATTTTAATTTCTCAAATAATAAAAGGACCAAAAAAATATTTCCAAGTAGTAGTCAAAAAATAAAACAAAAAGATAAATAAGGTGCAATAAAAGTAGCAACATGCAACAGCCAACTTCCAACAAGCACTGAATACAACGTGATAACCAATCAACCACATCATTAATTGGTCGGTTAAACATTCCAAAAATCAAATATATTTTCTGGTGTCCACCGTGCACCGGTGGAGGTCCCTTTCTTCCGCCGTGCTTTACTGCCGGAAACCATCCGCCGCGCTATTTATGTATATAACAATTGAAGGTTATAGCTTGAGAGATAAAGCACAATACGACATACCAATCATGCTACATGTACAACATCTTTCACATCTTCATTTACATCGTATCACATGACAAAACATAACTGGACAATTTAAAATCAAAAATAAGTTTTTCGCCCACAATTTTCATAAAACAAAGGCAATGTCAAAAAGAATGTAAATGAAGGAATGTACATTTAACATTATTGTTCGACATACTTTTGATAAGTTGTACTGAATAATTCGATTCGACAAACATACTAGAGCAATGCTATAAATTATTTGGGATAACTCAGCCAGACCAAAGAAATGAGGCCAAGCGTGAACCAAGCCAAATCGGTGGAGCCATTTGTGCCACATCAAAAATGGATTGAGCTGCCTCGAGTTTGGATTACGATGGAGTCGACTTGCTTATACCGTTTTTCTCGTAATATAAGAATTTAAGCACTTGTTTGGTCCTCATTATTTTTAAAATACATTTTTCTCTATTTTATTTTTAAAAACACATTTTTTAATAAAATAATATTACACGTAAATTCAAAACATTTCCTTATTTTTTAACCATATATTTTCCATTAAAATATTATTCCAAAATACATTTTGGACAAAAAAAAATTGAGGCTCAAACAAGCTCTTGACATCACCACAATACAAATTTATTTTATCTCATTATTCTATTATCATCATAACTTCACCAATTAGGGAATCCTTAATTCACCAAAACAGCTCAATTTACACGTATATTCTCGAGCATTTTCATAAGACGCGTATTACTATGGAATATTCTTTTCTTGAACGATTTAAACAATGACGAATGAAAATGAACTCCTTAATCAAAAGGGATAATTGCAATAGACCTTTTAATTTCTTGCAAATTTTACTCTAACCTTTCATTTGTTACACTTATAATCCCAAACCTTTCAAGCTTGTGTGACTAGAGGACAAATGAGTGGTCTTAATAGAGTTTTTCTTCAAGGAAGCTTTGGTTCATGTTCTACACGAATCCTTTTTGCACTGGCTCTAATCTCACAGACGAGTGAAAATATATAATGTGCAAATTTTATAATTGTTACGTTTTTTATATTGCAAGTGTACGATATCGTAACAAATAATATAGTTGACCTTTGAGTCTGAATTATCGTTCCCACGAGAACTATATTTTAGAACTTAATTATATTTTTCTAACTCCTATTTGATAAAAGTAAACAAAGATTTATGCATTGATGTGATTTTTTGATTTAAACCGTTTAACTTAATTAAAATGCACACAAAGATTAGTTGAGATTTCAAATAATTGATGAAAATTAGGGACAAACAATTTCACATATTGATCACCTTTTAGTCGTAATTCAAGATTCAAGAGCCTAATGTAGTGTTTGATCGAATTCTTCTATGGTATTCAATTTACCCCTATCGAGTTCTCATTGAGCATATTTAACCGTTTCAATCTTATATCTCTGTGCGACTCTACCTTAGTTAAATGAAATATTAGTTCTAAGAATTCATGTACAATCGCAATATTTAGTATATGTATCTCTACACGTTATAGTAAATTATCAAATTTTACTCTATGGTCTAAATCTCAAACTCGTCCATCAATTAGTAAAAGATTCACAAAATCATCAAATTAATGATCAAGTAATTTAATGTATTAAACTCATAATAAAATCAACACATAAACAATAAAATACCAAGAATCTTAAATAAAAGACAAATATTTTCAAGTAGATTACATCGTTCGCCCTAATTTAAAGTTTAGCTACTCATAATAAATGAATAAGAAAACAAGGAGTTGTTATTGAATACATTATCAAATTTTGAATATAGATGTAAAAAAAGAAATAAAGCATGCACCAAGATCTTCTTTTTCTTCCAATCAATGTTTTAAAGTTTGAATTCCTTGATATTTTCCTCCTTTAAATTGTGCTCTTAATCTCTAGTTGTATCTTTGTTTTCTCAATATGTGGAACCCTTAAAATTTCCTCATTTCTTCTCTTTATATTCCCCTACACGTTCTCCCCAAAATTGAAGTTTGTTCTTGGCTTTTCGCGGCCCAAAACGGTATAACCCTAAAATTTGCAAATTAGCACCTAAGCGCTAGGAGGTAGCGCCTAGGCGCCGCGTTCCCTTCCTGTGCAGCGCCGGGCTATGAGTTGCTGTTCTAAACGCTGCGTCTGCTTCAATATTCTTGTCATAATTTTTTCTACCAATATTCGATTAAGGCGATTCAAAATGCGCTGGAAAGATAACTCAAATGGATACAATTTTGCTAGAAATAACTCTTTTTCAATTCGAACTTTTACTGGGCTAAAAATGAATCTCAATCTCCAACTAAAAATCTGGACATCCTTGTGCGGTTGGAAATTTATTTGTGAAAATATTTTGGCCATATTTTCACTCATTTTGACTTTTAATTGTATCAAATTGGCCTTAAGCATTCGATGAATTTTTATCATGAGCTCCGACACAACTTTTGAGTATTTATACTGTAGCCCTCAAACTTTAGATCTTGCCATTTTCGTCAATTTTCACTTCTTTCATCAAGTTCCACCTAATAACACATTCTATAATAAATTAAGCTATAATCAATTAAAAGAATTACAAAATGTCAATATTTTAGAGTCCAAATAAGTATATAAAATACATTTATCGGTAATCCGATTCCATTTGATATTTTAGGTTTCTTTTATGGGTTTTGAAATTTGTGGTTTCTTTTTTTTTTTTTTTTTCAAAAAAGCTAAATTGACGATTGATTTCGTCTAATACATACAATTTGACACATGATTTGGTAGATGTTCGTGCATCTATGTATATTATATATCTGTATATAAATTTTTAGGTTTGGATTTGTTGTAAAGGTTTATATCGACGTTGAATTTTGAGATGGAGGGGAGGAGAATTACAGCGAGTCCACAGCCATGTTGTTTGTGAGGGTGGTGGCGAATATGGAGGGATAGGGAAGAAGATGGCGGTGCCAAATTTGTTTGGAACAGGTGGTAGTGGTGGTGGATTTGGTCGGGGGTGGGGGTGATAACGATGACGATGACGATGAAGCATTTCTTTTTCTTCCCTTTTTTGTTTCTTATTTAATTATTTCAATTATTTTATGTTAAATTGGAATAGACAATTTTATCCTCCACTTAATTGGTCAACAAAGGTCGATTTTTTTTTTTTTTGGGTCAACCGATAGAGATTTTAATGGATTCCATCCATTTGTCTTTCAGTTGCACGTACAAGGTTTGGGACCACGAATGCAACAAATAAAAAATTAGGGTACATCCTACAAATATTTGATAACATGGCATCCTATTTGACGTTACTTTTACACTTAATGGCCTACTCGAGAGTTCCGATGTACCGGTTATGAGTGTTTTTTAAGGTACCCATTTTGAGTGGTTATGAATCGACGGGTTATGAGTGGTTTTAATAGCGATTTTTAAAACAATCCAACCCATATTTGGAAATTTATTTCACGGGGTATGAAAAAAATTTTAAAAAGTAAAATTACGTATATGCCCTCAATGAAATTTTGAGTTTATGATTTCTTTGTATGAATTTTTTTTACTTATAAGTGATATTTTACTTATATGTAAATTTTTTACATATATGTTAATCTTTAACTTAAAAAGTTCAATAAAGTTAAATATTTACTTAAAATTTTATGTTAATATTTCTTAATTATATATAAACTTTATAATTATAAGTTAATTTCGTACTTTTAAATAAATTTTACCTATAAGCGAATTGTTTTATTTATAAGTAGCTTTTTATATTTTATAAATTTTTTTTGCCTTATTAGTGAGATTTTTACACAAAAATATTTTTTTAATCTTATAAGTAATATTTTAATTATAAGTAATTTTGAATTAAAATATAATTTTTATGCTTATAAATAAGTTTTTTAGTTAGTATAGTTTTATTTATAAGTTAATATTAAACAAAATATGTTTATTGGAAATAATTATTTTATAAAATGTAAAATGAGAAGAGAATTTGAGAAATGACAAAAAATCACCGATTTGGTAAGTTGCGAGAACCGATCAAAATTACACAATACATTTTTTGGACGATTTTTAAATTATATGAATATGACATCATCAATCTATGGTCCGAGTAGGACGTTCATTAAGTAATTCGGGATGGAATTCAATTTTCGGACTAATGGGATTCGTGATTTAAATTTTAGGGACTATTAAAATTCATTTCAAAGTTTGGGGATGTTTTTCGCACGTAATGGGACAATTTAATTTTTTTAGCCTTTGCCCCCTCGCCAACCACAACCACCCCCGTCACACTCAAAAAAATTTTAAAAAAAAAATCAACAATTTCCAGCGGAATCGTCTTCTTTTTCCTCCTCCTTCATCCATTTCCATGTTCAAGCAAACTTCTCTCCACAATTCTCTATCCAGTATATACGTACTCACAAAACATATGGTTACTATACGTATCTACTACGATCTATTAACTCAAAATTCTGTTTTTTTTTTTTTCAAAAATATAATTTTGTTTAAGAATCAAGACGCGATTTTGCAAAGAAAATGATAGGTAATTCGTGAGTAATTTTGAAGAAATCCTAGCGCTATGCTTATGATTTTCTTATGGCTATGCATCCGTTCTGTTGCATTTTATCAATGACAATTAACAGCAACGAGATGCCTCCGGCGCCGGCGCCGGTACTTTCAGCCGATGCGCAAATTGAGAATCGGAATTCGGTCATGTCGAGGGCGTCGTCCACGCGTGAGGATTATCAAATTATAAGTGTTTTGAATACTAATTGTAGTAATAATCATGGTCAAAATCACCATAGCCGGGAGCAGCAGCAAGTGAAGATCAATGAAATAGTGGGCGATGGAATTTCGGGAATTTTAAGCAAATGGGTCAATTATGGTAAAGGGTGGAGATCTAGATGGTTCGTGCTGCAGGATGGGGTGTTGAGTTACTACAAGATCCATGGGCCTGATAAGATTTTGGTTAGTCAGCAGTCTGAAAAGGGATCAAGAGTGATTGGAGAAGAGTCGATCAAATGGATGACGAGGCAGAATCACCACGGTCTTCATCATAAGAATGGTATCAATGGTTCGTTTTCGAAAAGCCGGAGCCCGTTAGTGAAGTTCACTTGAAGGTTAATTTTCCTAATTGAATCGTAATGAAATTTCCTATATGTTTCTACGTTTTTGTGTTTGGTGGATGCTGCAATTGGTATTGGAACTGATTAGTTTGATCTCTTGAATTGGAATTATCGGGGTTCATTTAACCAATTCTTTGCGTGTTGCAGATTTATAAAAAAAATCATTTTGGGCCTTTTGGTTCGATTACTTTTTCTTTCTTTAATATGAATTCTCTTAATTTATCAGACTCTGTTTCTGTTATGACTGTTTAAGCTTTGTTAATTATTTCTGTTTTCTTTGAAGAATAGAATTTGTGTGCATCAAACTAAATCTGGTTGGTAACTATATCCACCAAAATGGTGGGAAAACATTTTCTAGGCTCTTTTATAATTTTTTTTAATTTTGCAATGTTATCAAATTTCATAATCAATTTTAAAAAAAAAAAAAAAAAATTCTTTAATGGACAATTTTCATACAAAACAAAGTCAAACGAATGGTATTCGGTATGATAATTTAAAAAAAAAAAAATTTTTACAATTGGATCAAATTCTAGACCCAACGATAAAAAAAATAATCGCTTTAATGGAATTTCCATAAAAAACGAAGTCAAACAGACACAAACTTTCAACATTTTCCATGAAAAATTATACTAATCAAACACAATTAATTACACCTCCTAATAAAACAATTTCTAGGAAAATCTTGTCCCTATAAAATATTTTCTTTCCACCCATTTTTCACCCTTGCAATCAAACGAACCCTTAGTTAATAAGGATAAATTGTGTATAATTTTTCGTCTGACTTTTGTTCCTTCTCTTTGGGAAAAAAAAATAGCACAGTCAATTCCTCCTAACATTTTTTGTTGACTTTTGTTATTAAGTCAATTACGTGACTTGCACATGCCCTTTTAATAAATGTTATAAAAATAAAAGGAGTAAATTATGTAAAAACATATATGAAAGATAATTTTTTTTAATAAAAATAAAAAAGAAAATAATTTAATATTTTAAAAAGTAACTCGCAACATATCATCAACCATGTTCTCTGTTTGAACAATGATGATTTTAATGGAATGTTGGTAATCCTATACTAACTGAACTGAATTGTTTGAACGATTGAGCAATTAACTCATCAATATCTATCTTATAGCAGTCATCTTCATTGCTCTGGACATAGTCTGTTTCTGAGTCCGATTGAGAAGAGCTTTAGTTTGATCTTGCTTTTTAGAAGAAACTCTCCTCAATCGAACTCAGAAACAGACTATGCCCAGAGCAATGAAGATGACTGCTATGTCTTCCACCTCAAAAGCTATTTCTGCAGGCATTGTCATCATTCAAGAACAATACAAATAATGACAAGAAATTTTAATAAGGGAAACTTTAATAAAAAAAGATTTCATTTTAATCAATTTTATTAAAGTCACTTTATAAAAGTTGAATCATTATTTCAAAAAGAATATGCCAATAGTTGAGAAGTGATAGATATCATGAAGATTTCAAGTTCGGACTCCAAATATAAAAAAAGATCAAAATGCAAGTTCTCCTCAAGAGTTTTTTAGTGGGAGAAAAAACTTTTTCAAGAAATTTAGAAATATTTCTTATAATTTCTAGGCCTTGTTTAAGCCACATTTTTGTAGAATGAGGATGAAAAATATAGCCGTTATTGGGGTCCACACAAGAGATAAAAAATTTGAATTTAAATGTTGATGTGATGGATAAAAGTCATATTTTTCATTTTAATGAGAAAATAAGGTGGCCTAAACGGGGGCTAAATTTTGTCATGGTTCGCCAAATATTTTTGGGGGGTTTTTCTTTTCATTTATTAATAAATGACAATCTACTTTTCCTGTTCTTTTGTGAGTTGTGATCAATCATGTCAATCAGTGCCGATACACAGGAGTATGATTTATGTTAGTCCAATTAAATGATGAGAATGTGAATACATTGTTTGGCTTTTACATCGTGTGTAATTTTCTACAGGTCTCTTCTATCCGAGAGAGCCGTTCAGATGATAAGAGATTTTCCATTTTCACGGGAACAAAGAGGCTTCATCTGAGGGCACAGAGCAGAGAAGATCGAATAGCATGGATGGAAGCAATACAGGCTGTGAAGGAGATGTTTCCAAGAATTTCCAATAGTGAGTTAATGGCTCCTCTGGAAAATGTTGCTGTCTCAACTGAAAAGCTGAGACAGCAATTGTTGGAAGAAGGTGTAAGTGAATCTGCCATTCAAGACAGTGAGCAGAATATGAGAAATGAGTTTGGATCTGTGCAGAACCAATTGATGCTGTTGAAGCAGAAGCATTGGATGCTTACGGACACGTTGCAACAGTTAGAGGTACATGTCATACCTGGTAGAAAAAACTTTACAAGTCATTCAAAATTCTTCTTCGGTTTCGTCTTCAAAGAATCGTGCGTCTGAAGTGCTTTAACTATATAAGCTTCGTAGCTTTACAGCTACTTCTTTCTTCTCTTGAACTGGTTCTTGAAGTTTTTGAAATTCGGTAGATGCAGCAACGAACACAATAAAGTGATGAAGAAGGATTTATATAGCCGATTAAGGCTTAGTTTGTTATATTAACATATTTTAATCTGAACATTGGTAGAGGAAAATGACTGCTGCCTTTTCACTAAAATGGAGCGGCGGTTATATTGTTAGTTACTTTTCTTCTTCATTGTTATTGTTGATGGTGCTGGTTGTTGGGGTCTCCCGCTTTTTCTTTCCAGTTGGGAGGAGGGGGGAGGGGTGGTTCATACTTGTTTAGCGTCTTTACCTATTGCATTTCTTTCCTGATCTGATTGTGCAGCTATACTTTTCTAGTATTTATATTGTGGGGCTTTATTAGGAATTTATTGTATAGGTTCATGTTCTGTAAGATCATCAGTATTGAGTTTCTCTTGCATGGCATGCATAACCTTCTATATTTCCCGAGTCAGTAGGAGTAAGATGACTACCAGTTGAGCTATTTATTTGATAGAAGAATATACAAAGTAATTTCTTGAGATTTAAATAAAGTTTAGTAATAATTCTTTCTGAAAGTCACTTGGACAGCAGTTAACTGCATATTCTGCCATGTAGGAACATTACTCTTTTTCTTGTGTGATTTGTACTATGCTGCATACGGTTTCTTGGTCTGTATTTTTGTTCTCATTGAAACTGTCATGGTTTTCAATCTGTTATAGAACATTACTTTATTTAAGTAGTCATTCATTTATTGATTCACCTCTATCTGTATAGTGGTTGTAAAATCTAAAGTATACCTCATATCCCCCACAAATTTTCTTTGCACGTGTGTATTTCATGTTAATTTTTATATCGACATATAAGAAGAGGAACTTCTTCTTGTTTGTTCTCCTTTACTTGGTTGGCTATGATATTTTTGGTATGTGATATTGTCTAGACAGAAAAGGTGGATTTGGAGAACACTGTTGTTGATGAGAGCCAGAGACAGTTAAATGAAATTGGAGCATCTAGTAGATCAAGGCAAGACAAATATAGCGGTATGTTTCGTGACCTCTTTTTATGTTTGTCTTTCATGATTGTCACTGACTGAGCCGAACGTATTTTTCATATGCTTAGCCTACATGATTGGGTAGTAACATAACTGAGTTAAGTTCTTGCATTCTGTTCCTCTTTACTTGCTCTTTAAGTACAATATATGAGTGATAAGGTCAAAGTATGGCTGCTAGTATGAGCAATCTTTCTTTCTTTTTGTTCTTCAAATCATAATTTTTTGAATGTTATAACTTTTCTCGTTCATTTGTTTGAATGGGTTGATACTAATATATCAGAAGCCTACACAGTTTTGGCTTCTTTTATATGCATTTATTTTAAAGAACTGCAGCGATCTTATTATTCTTCTGGATTCTTTAACCAGAAAGCGCGAGTGAATCTGAAGATGAAAATGAAAGAGTTGATGCAGCAGAGGATGGTACTGATGAAGAAGACAATACATTCTTTGACACCAAGGATTTCCTTTCGTCGAGCTCTTTCAAAAGCAATGGGTCTGGCTTTAGGACATCATCATTTTCATCCGATGACAACAAACTATATGCTTTTGAAGCTGATGATTCTGTTGATCCTGCCATTAGAGCTGCTGGAACTAACTTTCCTTATGTTAAGCATCGGAAGAAACTCCCAGACCCCGTTGAGAAAGAGAAAGGTGTGAGTTTATGGTCGATGATTAAAGATAATATCGGGAAGGACCTGACAAAAGTTTGTCTTCCTGTATACTTCAATGAACCTCTCTCTTCCCTGCAAAAGTGTGTTGAAGATTTGGAATATTCATATCTTCTCGATCGGGCGCATGAATGGGGAAAGAGGGTAAGTTTACACCAAGGCATAATTCGTTTATTACATCTTTGGATAGTGGTTGCATGGATTGATGTGCATGGTCGTATGCCAATGCCATTTTAAAATTTTAATTAATTGGTATAGTTTTCCAAGGAGGGCAATTATATTCACACTACAATTTTTATTAGTAACACCATATTTTAATTTCACTTAAGGTCATCAATATTTGCTCTTTATAAAACTTTTGTCCATACTTCTTTTTCGTCGAATTTTTATCTTCAACATTCTATTAATTTGCAAATTGTCTTTTTTGATGGTTTCATTTAAAATATATATATATATTGGTGCTTTAAAATGAGGAAAAATATTTTTCACACTTTTTATTTATTATTTTAAAAAATATGATTGAAAATTAGTTAGTTTACGTTTCCAAAGAGACTTGTATGACAGAATCAATTATAAGATATGATATATGCTAATTAATAAAATGTTGAAAATAAAAATGCATAAAAAATAAAGTTAAGGATTACAGTAAGCAAAGATTGAGGATCTTAGATGAAATTAAAATGTGGCGTAACAAATAAAAAAATGATCTTTGATCGTAGTATGTAAACCTCTCTAAGATGATTGATTGGTTAAGAACTTAAATATCATGTTTGTGACAACAGTGAATGTAATTTAGAGAAGTCCAAATTTATTGACTTGGGAGTTGGAAATTTGTGAAGAGCAATGCAGTGTCTAAATTTCTCAATTACCAGACGTGAAAGTAGAAAAGCAAGTATATCTTATCAATCTATTTACTTCTCTTTAAGTTCATTACCAGAGTTTTTTTTTTAACAGGATATTGTCTTTTCCTAGGAATTTGAATACTGAGTAACTTGTCTGCAATAGTTGTGTTATTGTTGTTCACTCGAATTATGTCATCCATATGAAGCACCACTTAATTATTTATTACGGACCGAATGTCTCTTATGTGGCAAAAGCAAGTCTGAGCTTATTTTCCATGGAATGTTTTTTGGAAGTTCTGCGTTTTTTATTTCTGATGTGAATTCACTATATGCTCCCTTTTAGCATCTAATCTGCGATTTTAAATTTTTGATAGGGTAACAGCCTTATGAGGATTCTAAATGTAGCTGCATTTGCAGTATCTGGATATGCTTCTACTGACGGAAGGAATTGCAAACCATTTAATCCACTGTTAGGGGAGACTTATGAGGCTGATTATCCAGATAAAGGCTTCCGATTCTTCTCGGAGAAGGTTTTAGTTTATTACCTGAAGCAATGCTGTGTTTGTTTCATCCATAATTTTGCTCATCTTCTATGATTTGCATTAGTCTTTCAATAGGGTTAGATTTTTTATGGTATCAATGAATGTCTTGTTATATCATGTTCAAGATACTGTAGACCAGTCTGAGTATGTGGTTTTCTAACCTAGTTACTTTGATCAAAGCTCACCTTATGCTAATTGTTCTCAATTTTGTTGCAGTTTCTCTTTTTGATACTATGCTGTTTGATCCATTCACAAAAGTCATCTGTATTTAAAATCTAGATGAGTACGTCACATGGTTACATTTTAAAGATAAAGATCAAAGTCTTCGATATCATGTTCAATATTATAGTTCAACAGTCAACAGTGCCTGGTAGTTTTACAAGTTACGTTGAGAAAAACCTAGACTTTGGATTTAAAGTTCTTATGTTATTTGCCAAATAATTCATTTGAGTTTCTAGAGGAACATTAGATAGGAAAAAATGAAAAAATTGACTTTCCTTTACTTGACATAGCTGAGAAATGTTTTCAATCATAATAATGTTTAATGAATATTTTGGTATGCTTTCTGCTCAGTTTAGACAAGTCTTCTGCAAGTCTAGCTATAAATTACCTGGAATATAGTATTTTGGCGCGCATGTCAAGAAATTGCTGATTTTGTTGTTTGACTTGTGGTTAATAGTGCTCCTAATAACTGATGAAGATGGATATTTCTTTACAGGGAAAATCCTTCCTGGTTTTTGCACACACCGTGATCAAACATAACTAATGCTGGTTTCTTTTGGATCAGGTGTCTCATCACCCAATGGTAGTAGCATGTCATTGCGAGGGTACTGGCTGGAAGTTTTATGGTGATAGCAATCTGAAAAGCAAATTTTGGGGTCGCTCTATCCAGCTCGATCCAGTTGGTGTTTTAACGCTAGAGTTTGAGGATGGAGAAGTTTTCCAATGGAGCAAGGTATCAGCTCGATAAGAGTTGTTCTTTTGTGTGTTCGATTTCATGCCTGATAGACCTGTTTGTGGCAGGTAACAACATCGATTTACAATCTTATTCTGGGGAAACTATATTGCGATCACTATGGTACAATGCGGATAGAAGGAAACCGCAATTACTCGTGTAAACTGAAATTCAAGGAGCAGTCTATCATAGACAGAAATCCTCATCAGGTTTTCTCCCTTTATATATTATTTGCTTCTAGACCTGTAAAAAATAGATGAATAATTCTGGTATTTTGTTTTTTTTTTTTTCGGTGGAGAGAAATAATCAAATTTTTTTTATTGTCAAGGGCTTTGACGTAATATAACTTCACTTTTGCAGGTGCAAGGAATAGTCCAAGATAGGAGCGGAAAGACGGTAGCAACTCTATTTGGAAAGTGGGATGAGAGCATGCATTATGTCAAAGGAGACTGCTCGTCTAAAGGAAAAGGTCACGAATCTCTGTCAGAAGCTCGTTTGCTCTGGAAACGTAGCAAGCCTCCTAAGTTCCCTACGCGTTGTAATTTGACACGCTTTGCCATCGGACTGAACGAGCTTATTCCCGAACTGAAGGTAATTTTTATGCATGATTCAATGTCTTAACTGTTTCCACCAAATTAATGTTTTTCCTTGGTTGGCAAGTGTTTTTGTTTACCATCTTTTAGATGGAAATTACTAGTATTTTAATTCGAATCATTAACTCTAATCTTAGGCACTTGGGTCCCGGATCACATAATACACTTTTTGATACTCCGTTTAAATTGATATTCTCTGCGACTTCACAATGCTTTTACATAGATCTTTATTGGCATAGTCTGCAAAGTTGCAAGAGCGCTTTTGAACATTTTTCAGAATTACTTATTGTACTAAGATCGATCTTTCATACTACGCAGGAAAAGCTGCCCCCAACAGATTCAAGGCTGAGACCTGATCAAAGGTGCTTGGAAAATGGGGAGTATGAAATGGCTAATTCAGAAAAATTGCGGCTGGAGCAGCAGCAGCGGCAGGTAACTGTTTGAGCTTGTTTCTGAATAATAATACTGAATCATCAGCTAAAAATTAGTGCATGAGCCTGAATTTAAAGGTTGAGGTGTTTGGTGGCTTTTTATTGGATGCTTTATAATGCCCTTAGAACAGGAAATAAAATGAAGCAGTTTTTCTCGAGTAGTTCCAGTGTGTTTCCAGTAGGAATAAATGCTCAGCTTCTTTTTCCTAAGCTATTGAAGTGGGAAATGCAGTGGTAGTTACGATGTTCTAAACAATATATAAACAGAACTGGCATTAAAACACGTATTTGAAGTGTCAACATTAAAAGTTTTACTCGGGGAAGTTCTAGAACATACAGATTTGAGATTGTTGGAATTAACATTTTTCTATGTTGAATTCTATATTCTCTACATAACAACCAGTGGATTTTCAGTATGAGTAGATAAATGGTCCCGCATTTTCTCCAAAAACCTTTTAGCTCGTAAAATGGTGCAACTTGTGTGCTGTAGTATCATCGACCGTGTTTGCTTTTTATTTATTCTCTTTTTGTGTTGTGGAAACCAGGCTAGGAAGATGCAAGAGAGGGGTTGGAAGCCTCAGTGGTTTGCAAAGGACAAAGGTTCGGATACCTACCGCTATATTGGAGGGTATTGGGAAGCTAGGGAACAGGGGAAATGGGAATCGTGCCCCGACATTTTTGGTCAAATCTCATCCGATCAAATCTTAGAGTGAGCTACCAGGAGTCGGGTCTTGGTTGGTTGCCAGTGTTCAATATTATTGCTGGAAATCTTGGAAAACAGTCGATGATGATCATTGGCACGAGCAGCAAATATATCCGTAGCCTGCCTGTATATTACTTCGATGAAGCAACTAAGTTGCCATTGATATTCATTCAGTTTCTTGTTTCTGATAATTCTTCGATTTTCTTCTCCATTGCTCCTTGGTTTTGCTGTGAACACTAGAAATATTGATGCCCTTTTTGTGAGACATTTTGGTGTCGACCTTTTTTTTTTTTTTACCATTTTTCCATTTACCAGATGTATCAGAAATTGTAAAGGATAGACCTGAGGGGTCATCTCTACATTTAAAAGAATGTATTCCATTTAGATTAATTAATAACAGATGCAATTAATTATACGAAACAATCTTTTAGTTTTTGCTTTCAAAACTTATACAAATTTCAATCAATATTAGAAAATAAGTAGCTTATATTCTTCTTCTGTTGCCTATAAACTTATATAGTTGGTCTTTTTTGGCAGCAAGGATATTACCATAGAATACCCAACTAAGCTACTTATTGTTAGCTTAGCCAGTTATACATATTACTTGTGCTTGCTTATTCTCATTCCTTATAAATTCATTATCCTCCAGATTTCAGTTACAATTGAAGACCCTTAAGAAGAAATTCGCTCTTCCTCTTCCTCTTCCTCTTTTCGTTCTTGTTCTCCTTGTCAATCCTAGGTATTATTAAAGAATTTTTTATGTCGAGAAGAACAAAAACAAGAAGACAAAGATGAAAGAGTACAAAAAACGAGACAATGATCATGAAAGACGAACAACAAAAATAACATGGTATATTTTGTATGATTGTGCAATGTTGATATCGCAGTGGACGATGTTGTGTTTTATAACTTATTAATAAAATGGTACCTACTAGGTGAAGTTGTGAAGATAATATTATCTAGTGTAAATGATTATGTAGAATATTTGTTTGTGCTGATAGTAATAAATTAAATTTTAGGACGCATGAATATCATCGACATTGTGTTCATTGGCGGACACAGGGGGGTCCTGGGTGGGCACGTGTCCCCCAACTTTTGAGATTTTTTTTTTTTAAGTCGTGTTTGGTATCGATTGGAATCTAAATTTTAATTTAAATCAAAGTTAACAATTAATTTTAATAACATATTTCATGGAATTTATAACTGTTTTAACTTTTATCAAAATTTACTAAAAATTTGATTTTAATTTCCACCAAACAATGACAAAATTACAATAAATTTGAATTTCGATAACATGTTAATTTTAAAAATTCACAGACGATCGTACGCTAATCAAATCTACAAATTGTTTATGTCAACTCAAAGCTTATTTCGAAAATTTTTTTTTTTTTATTTTTTTTTTTTTAAGTCGTGTTTGGTATCGATTGGAATCTAAATTTTAATTTAAATCAAAGTTAACAATTAATTTTAATAACATATTTCATGAAATTTATAACTGTTTTAACTTTTATCAAAATTTACTAAAAATTTGATTTTAATTTCCACCAAACAATGACAAAATTACAATAAATTTGAATTTCGATAACATGTTAATTTTAAAAATTCTCCGACGATCGTACGCTAATCGAATCTATAAATTGTTTATGTCATCTCAAAACTTATTTCGAGAACTAAATTATGGACATATCGAATAGTCCAAACAGATATCGAAAATAGTTAAAAATACGTTAAATGTGAGTCTTAGAGAAAAACGTCCAACTCACATCTTTTTAAAAAAAATCAATTATTTCATTAACATTTATTATTTTTACTATACAAATTTCTCAATGTGATTTTCATTGAGTTTTAAAGAAAGACATCTAACTCGCATTTTTTTAAAAAAAATTCAATTATTTCATTAACATTTATTATTTTTGCGATACAAATTTCTCAATGTAATTTTCATCATTTTATTAGGAAATTTTATATGGAATATAACATCAAAAATTTTCGAAATTTTACATCCGAAAAAATTATATCCCATGTAAATTTTCGGCTGCAAAATTACGCGGGGTATGATTTTTTTGGATGTAAATTTTCGATTGTAAAATTTCTCCCAATTTCTTTACAAGTTCGATTGTGCCCCCCTAACTTTGAAACTCTGCGTCCTCCCCTAATTGTGTTCTATATCAATGTCCCCGTTCTTGAAATATATATTGATCACGTGAATTTTCATACATTGTTATCAAGAATAAAGCATGTAATATTGATTGTTCATACTTCATTCACCAACTACACGAGTTTGGAAAATTCGGAAACTAAACAATAATCCCTTTCATGTGTAATATGTAGATTCACTAGACAGATTCATACATAACTTGTACAAATATTGCATCTCTTTTCTGCTATGCATTGTGCAATTTCCTCTTCCTAGTTTATAACAATATGCAGACATTGCGGAAGTATTGCATAATTTTAGTAAGATTTGCTGGTCTACTTGTAATTTGATACACGGGGATGTAAAAATTTGCATTATTATCTGCATTGATTATCGACGATATCTTCTTAACATTGTCTATTGCATCGCGTACGCCATTATGATGACAATTGATTGTCATATGGATTGGATGAGAAGAATCACAGTTCACATTATAACTGTGTTGAAAACACTTACAAAATGAAATCAAAAGAGGAAGATCGAGATTGGGTTTCAATTATGGACAATGTGATTGATTTGCATTTCAATCTTGTAATCAATTGTATGGGAAGGGTAATATGTATGAGTTTTGCTACACAAACATAATACTTGACATGGGGGATGATACCCTCCCCGCACACACATGGGGGAGGTCGGCATTTTTTAATTCAGGTCGGGACCCACATGCAATGTAAGGGATCGATCAACCTCTATGTCAAGCATTATGTTCATTCAGCTTAATTCAATATGTAATCCATCCTCAAAAGTTATGGTTATTTGCATGTTTTTTAAGTTGTTTGCAGTTTTTGTATAAATTATCTCTTAATTTTCCTACACGTTTGAAGAATATGAGACACTAAAATAACTTTGATAATATTAATTATGTAAGTAAGCTTATATTTCTTATTTCCATAGTCGATTTTGTTATAAGTCGAATGTTTAGACCCAACAACACTTAGAGGTATATAATGCGGAATCAAATAATTAATCAATAAATAATAACAAGTCCCTTATTTATTGTTTCTTGATGATTAAGTTTAATGTCACGTTAAACCCTGCAATATAGATTAAAAGCATAAAAGTAAAAACACTAAATTTGGTAACAAAGGAAAGTCCCTTAAAGAACTCTTCACTGTGATAAAAAAAACTCTGGGCTAACCTTGTCAAAACAATTCACTAGAAAAGATACCTTACCATTGATCCAAACACAACTAAACTTTAGTCGACTCTAACCACTCAACATGTAAATCACCGAAGAATCTCTTCAATTGTGTAGCAACTCTGAACTTCTTTCCTCACCGTGGATGATCAAGAACGAACTTGTTCTGGAATAATTAGAAATCCAGTTGTCTCTTCCCAACTTTAGAACTCTAAAAACTTATTGGTGAAGGTAATGGTTTTTGGTATTTGATATTTGATCTTTTGTGTTTTGATCTTTTTGTTGAATCAAGAGAATTATGTAATTGATGTTTGATCTTTGTAGGATGTTCTCTTAAATGAATAATTGATTGACCAATAATACAAAAGATGTTTGGGACGAATTATGACTTTACTATATATAGTACAAAGCATTTGGGGTTGTTTAGGTTGGTAAAACAGGTTGAAATCGTGAATCTAGGGTTTCTCAGATAACACCACCAATAGAGCGATTCTCGCGACTATTGAGCGGTCAGTCGATTGCTCAAGTGCCAAAGGTGTAGACAACAAGCAGTAACCTTGTTGAAATTTTCGATCGAGCTCTTTCTTGTTGGTCGATGAGCGATTTTCCGCCTATTTTTTCTCCTTAGTCCATCTTTGACTCCTTTGAGACCTATACTACTAACCTCAACTTTTGAATTTAATTACAATTTAATAAACTCGTCATACAATTCAACTAGTACGTACTTTTGCTTAAGGAATTGCCAATTACAAATTTCGAAATTGCCAATAATAATATGGACTTAACACATGTTAGATGCGTAAATACATAGAGATTTTAATTACAATTTAATAAACTATGATTTTGAATATGAAACTAGTCAATTACATTTAGACCTGACAGATTTATTGTTCGTTATTGCGTCAATAATATAATATTGAATGAAATGGTGGAAGTGAATAGGTTAAGCATGTAGTGTTATCGAAATAGGTTTATTTGATGGATTAGATGTTATAGTGTTAATGGCAAGATCAGTATTCTCGAATCACATGTGTATCTGACAGACAAGAGCTATGGCCATAAAGAAAATGGAAAATTGCAATGGAGGTCCCAAACCTTTCATTTTGCTGCATATTACACCCTAACCTTTCATTTTTTGTGGTCACTGTCCCAAACATTTATATTTAACTACAGTCGAGGTCCAAATCATTGATTCCGTCCATAATGTCGTTAGTCAACAGTGAAATTGTAATTTTGACTCAAATGGACAAACTAAATGAGGGACAAAATGGTATATTTACAATTTCCATAAACAACTAAATGAAAAATGAAAGAAAAAATAAAATTATCTTCTTCCCAAACCTATCCCCAAATCACCCCACCCAACTCCCACCCCAACCAAAATCTACTACCCTCGCCACTGCCACCTACACGGCCATCACTACCACAGTCATTTCCACCACCACATCTCTCTCCATCGTCATCCCGACCAGAGGTGAAATTAAGATTTTTTTTTAATGCTTGTATGACGTCAATAGTGAGGAATCTTAAAATTATAGAATGTTTTTCCCGAAAGGCATAAATGGTCGGTGAACCGACAACGGAGAATATTGAGTTGGTAGTGCAGAAAGAAGCTTTCACGCCATTTTCCAGCCAATATTGAATTGGTAGTGGAGAATATTGAGTTGGTAGTGCAGAAATAAGTAGAGATATCAAGACTCGAAGAATAGAAAAATATTTTTTTTGTTCAATTCAAAGTCAAATTCGATGCAATCTTTACACATGGACTATAATTATTGATGGGTGCACATAAACCCCGGCACATTAAAACCTTTAGAACAACATATCTGTGGCCCTTTCTATGGTTTAGGAATTCTAGTCCTTTTGAAATCCTTTCACTGATTTCTGTTGTTGCTGATGACAAAT